AGTAACATACTCACTCCTGGATCCACCTGGGGGAGGGGAGCAAGTGCTGTGGTGGGTGGGAGGGAGGTCATCCCAATCTAGAGCCATAGACTAGACTGGGGATGGGATAATTTTCCAAAAGGATGCTAGGTAAACTGAAATCTCATGCCTCCAAGTCACATAAACACTATAACCATAAGCAACTTATTATTTTGTATAGAACTAACATGTATTTAGAACATTTTAGAAACAATAAGTCATTTGATCCGTAAACAGTCCGATAAAATAGGCAAAGATTGCTATGCTTTATAAAGAAGGAAACTCAGTGAAGGTTACAGCTAGGTTTGAAATCTGTCTTTTGACACCTAGTTCAGTACCTCTTACATATGTCTGAAGAGCCTCATTTTATTAATGGATTCAAAGAGGTAAGCCATTTGCCTGAAGTAACAGAGTACTGCCTGTGAAAGCAAGAATGCCATCTACGTCTTTCGATGACAGAAACATGCTGACGACACCATCAGTCATTCTGAACCCATTTTACTGGTAACATAGGCAACAGCACTGCCCTACCGTTTTTACTTTCCCAGTTCAAGAGTGCTGGAGATGAGGGCCAGGCAAGCCATTTTCTGGAAGAGTAAAGCAGGAAGTGTTCTGGATAAGTGGCAGGACAAACCAGCTATAGGTGCCTGTGGATGTCTGCTCTCTAGGTTGGAACATGACCCTTCTCTTCTGGTTAATTAAAGGCTCAGCTCAGGTGACACTTGATCCAGAAACTTTCCCTGACACACTCCCAATCCACCTCCTCTCCCTCTGGTGTCCCTTCAGTGTTCCCACATGCCCCCGGCACTTTGTTCCAACAGCATTCTTCCCACTGTCTTGTAATTGTCAGTGTTCATCTATTTTCCCACACCAGACTGCAAACTCATTGAGCATACAGGTTCTGACTGGCTTCTCCAAATCCCTAGCACCTAGCGGAGGATTTGCCAAATAGTCCTCCAACCCAACAAATGCGTCTTTTATAAGCAAATGAGCCTTAAGTACTTCGTCTCAGAAGGGCAGTCTAGCTTTTTCTGCTTTGCTGACCTTCATGGAGCTAACTTGAGAGCTTCACAGCATTGAACTTAAGTTTATTTCTGACCTCTGAAAAGGCTTCATAGAGGAAAGCAAAAGTGGAAGGAGCTGGGCTGAAGACCGGTTATTTCCCGACACATTCAGTGGCCACATTTAGTAATTTCTCCTATTCTGTCATCCTTGGACACTTTGGAAACGAGTTGGAACTAAGAAGGTTATGTAAGCAAAGAGGAAGCCTCTTTTTGCATACCAGCTGTATTTCCCCCCATGCAGCATATGACTTCAGTTTCACTTAAAACAGAGCTCCAGGATAACGATGATGACGATGATGACGTGTGTGTGGATGGATATAATCTGCATGAAATTGTTTCAATAATGTAAAAGTCAACATATGATTGAATATCTACAAGTAACTTTTACATTGTAATACATGAGTGGATATCAGGAGATATCCTTTTTTTTTCTTTTTTTAAGTTGGAGTCTCACTCTGTCGCCCAGACTGGAGTGCAGCGGCCGCTCCCGGCCACCGCAGCCTCGACCTGCTGGGCTCCGGCGATCCTTCCGCCTCAGCCTTCTGAGTAGCCGGAATTACAGGCACACGCTACCACGCCCAGCTGATTTTTTGATTTACTGTAGAGATGAGGTCTCACCAAGTGGCCCAGGCAGGTCTCGAACCCTTGGGCTCAGGCAATCCACTCACCTCAGTCTCCCAAAGGCGCGGGATTACAGGCTGAGCCACTGAGCCCAGAGATATCCTATACGTTTGAAATCTGCAAGAGTATGTTTTACTTTGTTAGTAATTCTAATTTCCTAAAATACAATTTATTTGAATTTGTAAAAGGGGAATCACCACTTAATCTGCCACTTTGGAATCTTTGATCAAACCTTAACCACTTTTTGAAAATGAAATATTCTCTTTAGACTCTCTGGAATGAAACTCTTCTCTGTTGCATGTGTATATATACATATACAATTACACATACACACATATACAATTACACACACACACACACACACACACACACACACACACACACACAAAGACAGGCTCTTGCATACTCTGCTTTCTGCTGATTTCCCTCAGATGGACCCATCTGTGTGTCTACCTTGATATAACTGAGTCTACCTACTTGAAATCTGACCTTAACTTTCTCAAGTACCAGTTTCTTTACACATTTTTATTTAACTATAAATGTAACAACAGCACATTGGGGGAAAATAACATGTAATACCAATGTCTTAATACATTTATAATCTTTTTCAAATATTCCCTTTTAACCTTTTTATATGCACTTTTTATATACTTATCAAAATTAATGAAAAAATTTGCAACTTACTTTTTTTTTTTTTGAGTTGGGAGTCTCACTCTGTTGCCCAGACTGAAGTGCAGTGGCCACTCCCGGCCACCACAGCCTCGACCTGCTGGGCTCCGGCGATCCTCCCACCTCAGCCTTCCAAGTAGCTGGAACTACAGGCGCGCTACCACGCCTGGCTAATTTTTGATTTACTGTAGAGATGAGGTCTCGCCAAGTTGCCCAGGTGGGTCTTGAACCTGTGAGCTCAGGCAATTCACTCACCTCAGCCTCCCAAGGCACAGGATTACAGGCTGAGCCATCAAGCCTGGCTTGCAACTTACTTTTTAACAAAATAGTACGATTCTTTTGAAACTCAGACTTGTCTCTCGAAAAGTGTGTATATATATTGCATATATGTTTTTGATGTTGGTGTAGGGCATAGTAAAATAATTGATGGCATAATCAATGACTTTAAAACTGCAGACTGCATTTAGAAATCTGCAAGAATTCCTAATTTAAATTATGTTTTTACTCTCATGAAGGAGAAATGAATTTTGCAAAACAGGTAAGCAAAGAAAGAGGAAGGGAACGTATAAGAATCCTCCATCAGCTATGTGGTTGAACCTGCTTAAGTCATACTTGTCAACTAGGTTTTGGCAGGTTTCATATGATTCGTATCTCTTGTGGCTAACAATTTGGTGTCAACCTAGGTACTGTTTACTTTTCAAGATTTATATAATTTGCTATTATTTCATTCAGAGGTTGATCTTTATTTCCCCTGAACTTTTCATGGAAAACAATGATCTCAATAGCAGGACACCAGTGTTCCTTCTCCCTTGGCTTAACAGGCTGAGTGTCAACATTAGAGACTTATTCGTAAAATTGGTCCATTTTATAAAGACACATCGAAAAGGCAGCAAGTTTCTTACATCTACTCTTCACAAGTGTCCAACACAAATCTCACTGTCGTCTTTCCTGGCTGGGTGAGCGGGTGAGCGGGGTCCCTTCACATGCTAATGCCTTGGTTTTATTCGCTCAATGACAATGGCTTCTTTTGTCATGTGGTCGGTCGCTGGAGATGCAGAACTTCTAGAAACAGTGCAGACTGGACTACTGGACCGTAGTTGTGAATTGTGCCAACGAGCAGGCGGCTTTCTGTGCTTCCTTTGTCGTGTAAGGCTGACTGTTACTCCTCTTCATTTCCCGGCCCTAAGGGCGCGGACAGGGCGTCACAGCTGAACAGTAGAATAGAAACAACCGGAGAGTAAACCAGACGCCAAGAGTGTGTATGTACATGCACACGACGGGCATTTTTTGCCTTGATCATACGGGCCTTCCCCTCACCACGGACAGGCAGCCGCACCGCCTCAGACTCTGTTCGCGCCGGAACGTAAACAATCTCGGCGTCTTCTCGGGCCCGGGCGCCTCCGCAGCCATCCCCGTCGCCTCCTCCAGGGAGGGGCGGCGGGGAGGGACCACGGCAGCCCGCAGCCCAGACGCTGGGCCG